ATGAGGAAACATGCATGATAAATTGATAACCATGAAAAGTAAAAAAAAAAAAACAAGTTAAGCAAGCAAGAGCATAATTAAATGTGAGAAAACGTAATATATATATTTTTTTTTTGAAGAACATTTAACAATCTGTACTCATGGTACAATTAGCTTAATAGATATTTGAATTACAATAGTAATAGAATTAATACAAATACAAACGCGACAGCATTCAATTTATATGTAACGCTATTCTTATTTTACATGAAAATCTTGAATTGAAGAGACTGTCGAGCAACAGCACTTTGGCAAGAATTTTTTTTTATTTTATAATTAACGTATAGTCCTATGTATTATGCTAACCAGTCTCTGGGCCACTTATGCTGGAGTCTCCTTACCGTATTACCCGGAAGGGAGTGAGATGAAAGATCTTTAATGAGGGGATTGGTGTGGTTTTGTAGCCTGTTGTGGAATTTAAAGTAGTGATTTTTTGCGACTTCTTTGACATACGGTATGTTCAGGTCTGAGTGTAGAGTTTCATTCGAGACGTATGGAGGGGCGTTAGTGATGAGACGGAGAGTTTTTGATTGGACTACTTGAATTTTGTTTATGTTTGTTTTTTTTAGCAGCTCCATAGCTGAATCCCATACGTCCAGATGGGTTTTATTAGTAGTTTGTACAAGTTAATTTTTGATTTTAGGTTGAGCTTTGAGGTTTTGCCCATAGTACTACGGAGAATAGAGAGTCTTCGATTTAGTTTTAGTTTGGTCATATGAATGTGTTTGGCCCAGTTGAGTTTTTTGTCAAAGTATAATCCTAAATAATTGACTGTGTCCGAATTAGGGATTATTTCATTGTTTAGTGTGATACTGGAGGGGGTTGTTGCATTTTGAGGGAAAATGTGGTATTGATTAAGATTCGTTTATTTTTGTGTGCCATTGGAAGTACCAAGGGGAAAGTAGGTCAAGATGTTTTTGTAGTGATGTCGAGAGTAATAACATATTATAATATTACAATTTGACGATCAAATTAAAAAAAAAAAATTAATAATGAACTTACCGGGTGGCAAAAATATGTTCATTTGCATCCTTAATGTGAACAATATCAAAAGATCCTGGATGTCTTTCCCTGTTGGTAACAATACCAACACGCCCTAAATTGCGACCTCCAGTAATCATGCACAAGTTTCCTATAAAAAATATGAATAGTTATGTCAATTAATATTACACAAACATTATTGTATTTAAAAAAAAGAATTTAACTTGCCAGTTTCAAAACGAATATGATCCAAAATTTTTGATGAAGCAATATCGTATCTAATAGTATCATTAACCTTGATGTTGGGATCAGGGTAGCGGATAGTACGGCCATCGTGAGTAGTTAAAAATGGCACTCCTTTGGGTCCAGTTTGTACCCTCTTTACTTTACAAAGCTTGTACTAAAATGCAATAAGAAAATAAATAACGAAACAATTAATTTCACTTCAAACTTGTAATTTAATTACTTTTGCTTCTTCTGGAGTAATTCTATGAATGGTGAAACGACCTTTTACATCATAGATCAATCTGAAGTGTTCACTGGTCTTTTGGATAGATATAACATCTGTAAGTATAATATAAATTTTAATTTGATTAAATTATTTACCTTCTTTATTCAACTTATTTACTA